GAATGTCCCGCTTTCCCCTGCACTTAGCTACAGGGCCTTTGTACGGGGTCTGTTTGCACAGTAAAGGCGGTCGTCTTATGTCTTAGTCCTGCAGGTTCCCTAGGTTCCCAAATTGCCTTGGTTCCCTTCTGAGCCCCGAAACAGTCCCTGTCGATTTCCAATATATATATATTATGGTGGTACGAAAGAACGTTATTTCTGCCTTTGGAGATTTCGCTAAGCCCCATGGGTCCCCCGGTTTCCTCAGCCTTAGGTAGGCAAGATCTATAGGCCTGGTGTCAACCTAAGAGGTCGTCCCAGTTCCACAAGAAATCGTCCTACCCTCGGAGATTTTCACCGGTTACCTCAAGGGTCCTGGTTTCAGACTCAGCATCAGCAAGGCTGTACTACAATGGGGTGTCGCCTGGTTCCCCAAGGGCATCGTGGCGGCAATAGCACTTTTTGTACTATTCAGTCATCAGCACGATAGCTTACGCCCTTGACTGCCCTCTGAGAGGCCTCCCGCTCATCGTGGTCAGAGAAAAGACTATATTATAAATGGGTCTTGTCTCAGCCGGGAATCGAACCCGCTACCCATAGTGCGCTAGGCTGGCACCTTACCACTTAGGCCACGATGTCGGTTTCTGAGTCACTTCCTTTTATCTTTTTACAAAAAAAAAAAATTTTCTATTTTACGACTTGTCTCCCTTTTTAAATATGTTCTTTTTTTCAGCTTAATGAAAAAAAAATTTTCTTTAAGAAAGAATTTTTATTCTACCTGTTCCCTCTTTTCATTTACTTCATGACTCATACACCTTTTGTTAAGGTAATGAAAAAAATTCGAGGCTTCTAATTTCTAAATTAATTTTGTGACTCAATTGTGACTCATCCCCGTGGAGTCCATGACGCAATTTTTTCTTTTAACTTACCGAATCCCGAATAATGATTCTTCTTTACAAATTTTATCAAATCTGAGCAGTTCACTTGCTTTTACTAGTACTCTTTAAAAAAAACTACCTTCATGACTGACGATTGCAGGTATTCTATTCTACTCTTAAAAAACTTTCTTCACCTTCCTTTTTTTACAAGCAATTTGTCGAAGCTCTAACCAAAAGTCCCATAACAATGATATTCTCTAGAATGAGTCGTATGATACTCACTGCTACCACAATTTTTTCGTAATGATTTTCACAATCTTCCATGCTAACTAAATAATTTTGAATAAATTGATTTGTATTCCACGCTTCTAACTGGCCAGGTTATCAACGTTAAAGTCGCATAAAAAACTTTATCCAAAAATTCTATTATTGAAAGAAAAATATAATTTCAGTATTATTGCTTTTCCCTATCCTTTACAATGGTACAAATTAAAAAAAATAAATTATTATTTACTTCTCAATACACTAATTTATATTATTATTCTCTTTTACATATGTTTCTTATAACCAATACTACTTATTTTTATCATTTTTAATTATATGATTATGATTCTACAATTTTAATTTTCAACTCAAAATCGACTTTGTTACAGCAATTTCTACAAGAAGGAAGGTAAAATTAAATTTACTATTTTGCTCATACTTTCAATGAATCTCTCAGAGCTCCCTGGCTTTTGTCTTTTAGTATCCCACTTCTGACACCAAAATTTATTTGTGTTACGTTTTAGTAACAGAATAGTCTCTTTTTCGAGTCAAGACTTAATCGTCCTCTACTCATCATGGGTGCGGAGACCACGCAGAATATATTTTAGATGGAGAACTAAAGAAATAAAAAAAGTTCTTAGTGCTTTACAAACCACACTGGTGCATTTATTTTTCTCAAAGAAAGGTAGAGATTTGTTTTCCTGATAGTCAATTCTTTATTCAATTTCTGTCATCTTTTTACTCAATAAATTGTTTTACAGCTTGGCTAATAGGTAGCTAGGTAGCAGAAGGTTGTATACGCGTGGAAGGCTGCAGTTGCTTGGTTTGGTTGACGCTTCGATTCTCAGCTCTCAGCGTTGGTGCGGCGTCTTTCGGCGTTGTTGAGATGATTTTATGGTTTGATGGCTATCTTGGTGAAAGGTCGTCGTTGCCTCGTTGGGAATCTTCATTGAAGCCTTCTAGTTGACTGATCTTCTTCCTTCTTACACTCACGATTTTTCCTTTAATAATATTTGTTAAGAGATAAAGAAGAATGAATTTAAATATGAAATTTATTTGAGAGAAAATCCATGCAGGATTATTAAATCTCATATGATTTTATTTCAAGCCCAAAAATTTATATTTGAATTTTGAAGTTGTATCAAGAATTAATTAAAAAAGTATTCTGAATTTGAAAAATCAATCTAAGTTCGAATTTGCACCGTGCCCAGTAAAAATTTGGAAGAGAGTGTTTCTTGTGTCCAAGTCCGCGCTTTTTAAGGTGCTTTTTGCACATTCTTTGGAAGCTTTTAGATTGGCGTTCTCCAATCCAAATTTTCAATCAATTTAATTATTTAGGCCTAGCTCTAATTTCCTCCAATCATCTACGCAATTTTCCCCTTTTTCTTTTGTTTAGTGTCCGGCGCATCTTTTTGCCTCTAGAAGTCCCCCACGCAGGATTCACCTGTGCTTACTCAGCATGCGCCTCAAAGCTCTATGTCCCCCACATGGTTTTTACCTGAACTTCGGCGGCCATCTTGGGACTGGGTCGATAACTAATCGATCAAATAATCAATAATTCTTAATCTAGTTACTCATTTGACGAATTTTCAGTGTCCCTCTTAACTAATGAAGTTCCTGTCGCCGTTCTTTTACTGTTCTCGTTCACGTGCTACTACAATCAAGAATCATGAAGACATTTAAGAGTTGCTAACAAAATTTTAGGTCCAAGAAGAAGTTCTTAAGTCAAATCAACATCAGTTATCATCCTTGGACTAACAATGTGAAGATTTCTTCGAATCAACTCACTCAGCTCTTAGAGACTCCTATACAACTGCGTATCGATGCTTGAAACGTCAGTCGAAGAGATTAACCAACGAGACTGAATACAGCAATCTCTATAGACAATTCATGAAGGAATACGAAGAACTTGGTCATATGAGACCTGCTCCAACCATCAATCAAGAATCTCAAGACAGTCACCCATACTCTCTTCCTCATCATGGGGTTTTAAGACCAAGTAGCACTACTAACAAGCTTAGAGTCGTCTTCAATGGATCCAGCTCGAGCTCAACTGTAATCTCATTGAATGACATCACTCATACTGGAACGAAAATTCAATTAGTTATCTTTGACGTACTTCTTTGGGATCGTCAACATCAATACGTATTTGCAACTGACATAACAGAAAATTATCGTCAAATAATCGTTTATCATGAAGATTGGAAGCTTTAATAAATTCTTTGGCTAGACAATCACAACAAAATCATTCCATATCAACTCACAACAGTAACCTACGGCACTAGATCAGCTCCTTATCTAGCAGTTCGTGTGTTACTGCAAGTAGTAGAAGATGAAGGCCATAAATATCCAAATGCAACTCAGACAATAATTAAAGGCAGATATGTCGACAACATATTTGGAGGAGCAGATTCTCCAAAAGAATTAATTCAAGCTGCTGAGAAATTAATTAACTTGTGCAAAGCGGACGGCTTTTCCCTTACAAAATGGCAATCAAACAGTCAATCGCTTCTTCAAAAAACGTCACAATCATCAGTCAATCAAGAGAAAATCACCTTCGAAGACTGCACAACAAAAATTCTTGGACTTCAATGAAATCCAAGCTCAGACACATTCACATTCACATTGAAATCAGTCACTCATGAGTCAACATATTCAAAATGCCTCATTCTTCCAGAAGTAGCTCAAATTTATGATCATTTGGGGTTTATGTCACCAATCACAATTAGAGCTAAGATGCTTCTTCAAGAACTCTGGTTACACAACCTTAGCTGGGACGAACCAGTCTTACAATCAATCATCAATCGCTGGCTGTTCATCAGAGAAGAATTCACTCAACTTCATGAGATCTCACTTTCACGATGGATTCACACAACCAGACATTCAATTGTAGAAATTTATGGATTCTCTGCTGCTTCACAGCTTGCAATGGCTCCAGCAATCTACCTAAAAATCAATTTACCGTCCACAGGGCCCAAAATCACACTCATCTGTGCGAAAACGAAAGTAGCACCAATCAAACAAATCACGATTCCCAGGCTAGAATTAACAGCTGCGTTAATTCTAACGATACTCACAAAGTATGTTCTAGCTATACTCCACAGAGTGAACATACCTTCAATTCACTCATGGACGGACTCTTCAATTACTCATTCATGGATCAATTTAAATGCAGGACTTTGGAAGGACTTTATCAGGGACAAAGTAGTGAAAATTCAAGAACTAGTTGCGGACGCGCACTGGCACCACATTTCTGGCAAGGAAAATCCAATGGACTGTGCTTCAAGGCATTACAGCCAATCAGTTAAAAGATTACTTGCTGTGGTGGAGGGGACCCACTTGGTTAGCTGAAAATCAAGAAAACTGGCCAGTAAATTCACCACCAGCTGACGAGGCTTGCAACTTAGAAGCTCGTCCTGAAATTTCACTCATAGCAGCCATTCAATACACAATAATCCAATAAGACTTGGTTAACGGGTATTCTACACTCAACAAGTTACTGAGAATCACCGCCTTAATCATAAAATTCACTTCAAGACTTCGACATTCACCAGTTACCAGTCCTTGAGCATCAATCACAACAGCTGACATCGAAAAGGCGAGAATCTTCTGGATAAAGTCTACTCAAGCAGCACATTTTCACCAAGAAATCAGGACTTTATCCAACAATCAACATCTTCCACCAAACCATTCATTCAATAGACTCACAGCATACGTTGACTCAGAAGGAGTTCTACGAGTAGGAGGACGACTTCAGCATGCTCAGTTGAGTCAATTCTACCTCGACATTCACCACTCACCACTAGACATTATCATTCAACCACGCTACATAGTGGCACTCAACTTACACTCACAACAATCAGACAACGTTACTGGATCATGGGTGGAAGAGCACAACAACCCATGGGCCAATTGCCACAATCACGTATCACTCCTTCACGGCCATTCCCTCACACTGGCATAGATTATGCTGGACCATTCACAATCGAAACATCATCAGGCAAAGGAGCCAAGACAAAAAAAGCTTGGGTCTGTGTATTTGTCTGCATGTCAACTTCTGCATTTCATCTGGAAGCAGTTAGTGACTATTCAACTGAAGCATTCATTGCTGCCTACAGGAGATTCACCTCTAGACGAGGATTATGCCAGACAATCTATTCTGACTGTGGCAGAAATTTCATAGGAGCTGATATAGAACTCAAGAAATTATTCACACAATTCACCAGAGAACATGAGGGCATCTCTAGATTTATCATCACCAACGGCACTCAATGGTCATTCAACCTACCTGCAGCACCACACATGGGTGGCAAGTGGGAGTCAGTAGTGAAATCACTTAAATTTCATTTGACGAGAACAGTAAAACAATCACTCTTTACGTTTGATGAGATCGGCACACTACTGACACAAATTCTCAACTCAAGACCTCTAGAGCCAATCAGTGATGACCTAGAAGACATTCAAGCACTCACTCCTGTACACTTTCTTATTGGGTCAGCAATCAACACTGTTCCTGAACCATCAACCTCCGAACCTGCACATTCAATTCGAAATCGATGGCGGATGATTCAACGACAATCACAGCAGTTCTGGTCCAGGTGGTAACAATCTTATTTACAAAAATTACAAGCTATTTCTAAGTCGTTTTTTAGGAACAGAACAATTCAAGTTGGTGCATTAGCCTTGCTAACAGATAAAACATTTTCCCTCACGTAAAGGCCACTCGTGAGGATCATTCAATTGCACCCAGGGCAAGACGGGCTTCCACGAGTAGTAACAGTGAAGACACCAACAACGACGTTGGTCAGGCCAATCGTCAAACTAGCCATTCTACCAATCAACCCAACTCCTGAAGCCCAACAGCAGAATCAACCAGGAGACAATCATCAACCAGTTGCTGATGGCGGGCGGCATGTGAAGAATTAATTAATTCTCAGTTTGAATTTGCCAGTTGACAGGAATTTCGGCGACCATCTTGGGACTCGGTCGATAACCAATCGACCGAATAATCAATAAATCTTAATCTAGTCACTCATTTGACTAATTTTCAGTGTCCCTTTTGACTAATAAAATTCCTGTCGCCATTCTTTCACTGTTCTTGTTCACGTGTACACGCCATTCACATTCATTCTTAACAAATCTGAAAGTTTTGAGTCAATCATTAGTGCAAGTGATATCGTGAATCATCAGAAACATTCAAGTTGTAGTCTACAATAGAAATCAACTAACCATTCAAGACAATTCACAGTACATTCAAGAAAGTACAATAAATTCATTGTGCATTGCATAGAAAGGCTAACGCCACGTGCACAATCATATTCTTGCTCAACTTGAGAAGCGTGCTGAGCTCGTGTGGGAGATCAATAATACCGAACACACCAAGTTGAACATTTGTTGGACATTTAATTCAAACATTCAGTAACCACAAGTGACATTCTGTGAATTATTAAAGACATTTAATTCTTGTATTCGGACATCAAAGGTCATTCAGTGTATGTTGTGTACTTGTTAGTGCTTGAAATAAAGATACTCTATTTTTTATAAAACCTGACTTCCGTTTGCTCTGTTCCGGCACAATCATCCCTATCCTTGAACGGTTATTTAATTCACAATTTGAGATTTTCTCAACAGATGTATAAAAAAAAAATTTTACTTAAAAAGCGTAGAATGTAACGTTAATCTCAAAAGCCAATATTTCAGTTAGAAGTGAAGAATTATACTACAGATAACTCTTTAGTATATTGAATTCTAAAAATTAACATTCTTGAATACTTGTAATTTTAACTGATAGCAAGTACGTAGTCGACTATCTTTAAGAGAATTGTACACTTAATAGCAATAATCAAGTTTCTAGAGATTAGTAATGAACATGCTCTTATCGAATAAACAATGCTCTCCATTCAAATAAAATATCTACTTGATTCTAATATCTAGTAGGTTTTATTTAAGAAGATGCTATTTTTGCAAAAAATACAATTTTAATTTATTGCAAAGATCTAGTCAACTTATTTGAAGAAAATGGCACGATTAATATTGGTAACCACTGCTCTAGATACTAGTACAAATTATTTTATAATTAAATAAGTAATGTTTAGACTACAAGTAGAAAGTAGTCTTCATTTGCGTAAGGAGTAACGTAAATTTTAGAAAACCATATTCGAATGAGAAGTAATAAAATGTACTGCAGGTGAATATTTCGTATATTGAATTTTAAAAAAATAGCATTCTTCAATAATAGTCGAACTTTAACTAGTGGCAAGTAATCAGTAAACTAATTTGGAAAAGATTACTTTTTCCATTCCAACAATCAATATTGTAGAAGTAAACAATGAATTTGTTTCAATTAAATAAATAATATTTATATGACAAGTAAACAGTAACGTCATTGTTAGACAACAATAGACATATTGAAAGTAAAAAAATATACTGCAGATGAGTATCTAGTACATTGATTTTAAGAAAATGACATTCTCTAATAATGGTACAATATTAACTGGTTGCAAATACGTAGCAAACTGATTTTAAGAGAATTACATTTTTCATATCAGTAATCAATATTTGAGAGATTAATAACAATTGTAATATAATAAGAAAAAAAAAATACGCGATAAAGGTAAAAAAGTACTTCAGTTGAGTATTTAGTAGATAATTATTGAAAAAATAATATTTTTGTAAAGAGTATAATGTAAACTATTTGCATATAATTAGTAGACTTTCTTCGAGAAAATAATACTCTCTACGATGGTAATCAATGTTTAAAAGATTAGTAAAAAGCCTGTCATAGTTAGATAAGCATTATTTTTACAACAAGTTAGAAGTCTTTTCTATGCCAGTAACTAGTATACTGTAATATAATAGTATTTCGATTTACTCAAACCTAGTAAATAATATGTTGTTGGAAAGTACATGATATTTTGGAAACAAGTAAAACACATTTCTTTTCTAAGTATTAAATATTCTAAATGTTACTAATCGGTCGTCTAAACTTTTTAAAAAAATATGTGTCATACAAGTAACCTGTATACTAGATTTAGGTGAACAGCATACTTGGAGTAAAGGTGTTTAAAATAGGCAAAGTAAATTTTATACATTATCAACAAATATTCTAAATGCGAGTGATAAGTTTTTTATATTCATGAAAAAAATATTTTATGTACAAATAATTTGTATACTGCATTTAAGTAAATACCATACTTAAAGCAAAACGTCAATATTTTGAAAACAAGTAAAATATGTAATGATATAATTCAAGTCTATTGTATACCGAATAAAGATAGAAATTATTTATATGATAAGTAAATAAAAATTATGTCTACAGTAATTAATATTCTCCTTACAAGTAATTTTCGTACATAATGCAATAAAACAACAATTTGAAAACAAAATTTGCAATATTCTAAAAACAAGTAATTGATGTACATGTGATAAGAAAATTATACTCATGATAGAGAAAAACTATGTTATCGGCAGATGTAAACATTATATTTTTATAAAAGTTAACTTCATACTTGGCGTAAAAATACCGTTTACAACAATGCAACAAAGCGCGTTATTAGAACAGGTAGTTTTTACACTTTATATGAACAATAAGTATATCTGCTTTCGTTAGATCTATATTCTATTGACAGTTAAAAATTTACTCGAAAATAGGAATCAATGATTGTGGCACAAGTAACTAATGTAGTTGTATTTTGTACGTGATATTTTTAATATGAATAAATGATATATTGGCGGTCAGCAAAAAGTGTATTATAAGCAAGTTATTCATCGAATGAAAGGTAGTAATCTGCATTATCGTAATAAGATAACATGTATACTACAGTTCAGTAAATTTACCGCAGTCTGTCATTTTACAGTATACAAAACTACAAAAAAAAACTTGTACTGAATAATAACTATACTTGAATTTAGTATACTTTAGACTTGTCGTTAGTATACTTTCTAGGTTTCACATTTTCTTTGTCAGTGCATCAGTTCTGGATACGGATTGAGCATTTTTTCAATATGGATGACTGGGGTCAACTGTAATCATGGTGCTGCTATCAGTCGGACTTATTTGAACTAATTTCCAATGATAATCATCCCAAATCGTAGGTTTCTAATTTCTTGGTAATTATCCAATATTATCACCTGAAATAATTTTTTTTCTATGCTTAGAAATGTTGCAAGAAGTGATCTCGACAACATTTAGGAGCTGAAATTAGATAGAACATAAATAATTTACGATTTCTTACCATAACCTTGTAGCGGCCATCTTGGAATTGAAGCGCGGCAAATCAATTCATAATCGTTCAATTTTCTTTTTAATTTTTTAAGTAAAAAAAATCAGTTGGATAATCGAAATTGCTATCTAGCGCACTGCATCATAAAACAAGCTTTAATTTGGGACCAAAACTTTCAAGTAAAAACCTCAATTCGCGGAGAAATTGGAAACCTACGATCCAATGTATTTAGGTAGGGGGAATCAGTCGCCTTCATGACTTCAGCCCAGCCTTAAGAAATATTTATTATCGATCTATTCGAAGACTGTCATACTGATAATACCGATAAATTTGCGTGATAATCAACAAAAATGGCTGCCATGGTAAATTATTTTTTTAACTTTTTGAGATCAAATATCTCAAAAATTGAATTGGATTTAAAAAAAGTGAGGTAACAAAAATATTCCTTAGAGTATGAAGAAAAAATTTTTTCCAGTCAAATATGTTTGATTTCTGCTTCGTTCCTAAGATATAACTTAAAATATGTGAATTCATCGGAAAAATTAATTTTTAACTTAAAAAAAAAATTATGACGCGGCTGGCTTTTTTGGCTGAGAATAGGTTCATAGAATTCAACTTAATTTTCTCTATAAAATGAGCCCGGTCTCGACTTGTTCCACGAAATTTTTTATTAACCCTGTTTCCTGCTGCACATTGACTGGACTATGAGATATGTTTACTTTACATTGATCACATATTTACCTCACGATTGGCTAGAAGGATATATCATATTAAGTATACGTAAACATGATATAATTTTACGACCAGTCTTTACAAGATAATCCCAACCGTATGTTAGTGAGAAATTATATTACTTTTCAGGGATTCAACAGTACTTGAACTTTGAGTCTTAGAGAGAATGCACATACTATCTTTTTTTTACTGAATCCTTTTACCAACCTTCATGTTTTGTTTAGGCATTTGTTGAAATATTCCTTTTCCCCCAAACATTGAATATTTATTTGTCAAATTATTTTGACAAACTCTCAATTTCGTCTTGTATTTTGAAGCGCACTGTTCTCAAGAGTGTCAAAATTTTCAGCATTTTTGTGGTTCAGTTAGTGAATTTATTGTGTTGATTGAGTTGATGGTATTTATGATTAGTGATTTATATTAATTGTATAGGGTTAACAAAATTTGTTACCTTCCAAAACTTAATTAGGCTGTGAAAAGTCAGTAAAAAGGACACTTTACGACGATAGATCTATCGAAGTAACAACTGACTAAGAATTTTCTTGAAATAAAGTAAGTTGATTTTTCATGCATTTTACACACACGTGTAAAACACCTTAACTTTAATAAAAAATTATTAGTGCAGTTTCAAATAAATTCAGTTAAAATTAT